GGTGGACGACATCCCCGAGCAGGACATTGACATCAGCGGAGCCAATTTGGACGAGGGCTCTTTCCTCCAACCTTACCCGCCTAAACGCCGCTACGCTCTGCTCAAAGCAGCAGGCGTGAAGAAGATCGACAAAGAGGAGAAGAGGCAGCTGCACGAGCTGAGGATCTCCAGGGAGAACTGCGGTTGCGACTGCCAGGGCTTCTGCGAGCCTGAGACGTGTAGCTGCAGCCTGGCTGGCATCAAATGTCAGGTGAGAACCGTAAAACCCTCCCCTAAACTGTGGTTCAACAAATCACAATACAACTGGGACATCTTATCTGTATTTCACAAGTAATTTAACTCCTTCCCTCTGCCTCCCACAGATGGATCATTCCTCTTTCCCATGCGGTTGTACCAAAGACGGCTGCGGGAACACAGAGGGTCGCATTGAGTTCAACTCCACCCGGGTACAGACGCATTACATCCACACTATCATGAAGCTGGAGCTGGAGAAGAGGCTGGAGGAGCAGTCGAGCACAGAGGAGGAGGAGGAAAACGCAACCACCTTACCAGCAGTGCCCTCCTTCCCCTTTAGTTCAGAACTGGCGGCAGCTGGAGAGAACAGTTGCAGCAGCGATATGACGGACTTATCGGACTCTTCAGGTCAGAGCGAGGACTCCGAGGCAGGCGAGGGCCCGTGCGAGCATCACACGCAGCTGGATGTGGACGAGAAAGGCCTGAGCCGCATTCTCAGCTTCAGTGACACAGAAAACGGCTCGAGGAGTAGCAGGGACAGCGGGGACTGTAAAGACATGTGCTGCCCTGATCAGCGGCAAGAACAACAGCAGCCATCTACGGAGGCTTTTAGCAGCTTTAGCATGGTGGACTTCGCTGATGAGAATGACAATATAGACGGCGCACTGTTGGACGATCACACAGACAATCAAACAGCCATCTCAGAACTTTTGGATGAGAACGCCAACCAAGGAAACGGCCTATTCCATAGCAGTAGTGTGCCACACACACCGTCCCCCACCATCGACCGCTCTGCGAGCTATAACATGGACCTGAGCCTCTCCTCAGAGTCAGACTTGGAATTCTTTGACGGTTTCCCCTGCTTGGGGCCCAGCTCGCTCTACAACTCCCTCAAGGAGTACGAACACATGGACAACTTTTTTCAGTTTCAGTTGCCTAGCTACCCCAGCCTCCCTCCTGCGAGCGACCCCGGGACGTGCCTCCTGGAGTCGCTGATTGGCCTTTCAGAATCTGTCCCAGAACCCCCCGCCACATTTACAGACAATCAGCTGTTGGAGGAAGCCATGAAATTGTCTGTGATGGAGTCTGTGAAAGTTTGACGAAACATGAAATCGTGTGGACTGTGCAAGAAGAAAAAAAAACAAAACAAAACGGGGGGTTTTGGAGGGGACCGAACATGCACATAAAAAAAGTCAAATTTTTTTGGAGGAAGCTGTGATTTCCCTCTTGCCTAATAAATGTTCAAATTCCAGACTTGCCTTCAAAACGTTAGCAAAGCAGTTTGGGATTATTGCTGTGTGAGATGGCAGCTAGTGTTAAAAGATACAAAATGGAGATCAATTTGACCAGGCCCATAGAAACCAATGATGGCTCTCAGTTCCTAAGAAAGCTCTTTTAACCAAACTAAGATCACCAACCATATGCTAAACAGGAATCAACCTTAACCGGGGCCAGGTTGGGAATCTCAACACAGCTGAATGTGCACCTCAGGGATTTTCTAGCTTTCTAGCTTTTGGAGGCAATGTATGGTGACCATTGCTGTGATGGCCTTCATATGAAACCCGAGTCGAATCACAACATAGTCCTGTTCATGTCCTCCCTTATTTGGGCTCGCACCCAGATGACTTGAGTAGGTAGGGTCCTCCCTGTGTTGAATCCTGAAGCTAGTGGACTCTTTCTCCTCAAGATCTCTCCCAAGGGTCTTACATGGTACAAAAAAATCCCTCTAAAAGCTCCTCGATCAGCACTTTATCTGTGAAAATAGTTATGTATGAATAGGCATTGTTGTGGTTGTAAGGGGTCGATTCAACAGTTCAACGCTAAATTATGGAGTTCCTTATTTATGAGCTGGGTAACTAGAAATAATGCTCATACCATTAAAAGCTGTAGCTTGTATTGTCTTTATTACTTTTGTTTTAAATTATTTCCTTTATGATTTTATTCTATTTATTTCAGATAAAGCCTTTCACTCAAGAAGCACTGTGGTTTGATATTTTCACCTGAAAGTGCAATCTTCCTTCCTTTTTTCCATATCACATTAAAACATTGTTATGGGAAATGGGACCACAAGTCCATCATAAAGTATTTAATATCTATTCTCATATACATTAACTTTTTTAAAATAACTTATTATGTCATCATTTCATTAGCTATTTAATTTAAGACGTTTTGGCAATAAAATGGGGTGTTGTGAAGTTTACTGGATGTGCCTGCTTATCAGGGGAGCCACGCCTGCCAATGGTGTGTGCGCAGTGCTTCCATTTAAGCTTTGGGACTGAAAACTGTGGAATCTCCCTAATCACTGAAACTAAATTATGGGTCTATTGTATCGCTGCCTATAATGTAACCATAGAAAAATACACTAATATTTTGTAACTAATTTATAGGTTGAAAAAAAAAGAATTCTAATCACTGACAAATTGAATATTTTATTAAGAAAGCAAAATGAATAATTTTCAATCTGGGACAACCTTTGTAATATATGAATTATAGAGAAATGTATACTTATGAAGGTTATCGCTCTCTAGCATTCTGAAGTATTTTTCATAGGCAGTCTTATGGTTAGATATCTTAGCGAAATGCCACTAAAACTAAGTAAATTGCAAAGATCAATTTGATTGTATTCTGAATTTCTTGGAAGTCTGTGACTTGGGTTACATTATGTTATAAATGACACATGTAAAGGGTTTTTGTGGATAAAAACTGCATATATTATACAATTTTTATCGCACACACAAACCCTGAGAATTGAAGAGTTGCCTCATTCATGACAGAACAAGACCTTTAAAGGTGATTCTGCTGTCACCTGCATGAACAGTTGAGGGCACTAGAGAGTTGATGTACATATCTCACCCTTTCTACAGCTGTTTCAACAGCCTTTCTGGACCCTTTAGAAATTATGCATGCAGGTCCTGTTTGTTAAAACTTGTTCTGATTAATTGTATACTTTGAAAAGTGCTGAGTGCACATCGGAAATGTATTATTCGCTTTTTGCCTTTTTGATTACTTTGAAATCCATCCGATATATGTTCTTACGCCATGAAGAGGGCACTGATTTTTGCAAGTTTGTTTCTCTTGTACAAAACATCAATTCTCATGAAGAAATGGCAACAGTGAGTGTTTATCAATGTAATGTATTACCGTACAGCTTTTTTTTAAAATTTATTTTCAAAGAACGTGTCTTACTTTTTGCCTTTTGTGTTGTACATATTTCTGCTTGAATGGTCCTGCAGAGCAAACAAAGCTGCTTTATTTTTTATTCACACTTTAACCTGCTGTACAAAAAAAACAGTTTCTTTCATCTAAGCCATTTTGACAGCCTGTCCCTCCAAACAATAATAAAAAAAACATTTTTTAAATGCTGTTGTTTGTCATATGGTGATTTGTTAAAGGGATCTTTACATATCAAACCTTAGTGAGGTCTTGGGATAATCAGATATGCCTGCACAGGTGCTGTTTCTGATTTATCATATGCATATTTTACATAATCTTGGCGGTGACACTATTTGGATAGTCCGCCTCCAGATAGTTTATAGAGTATTTGCTAACTGTTTCGCTTTATTCTGCAGATATTTAACAGATTACCTAGAGCAGTGGTTCCCAACTGGTCCGGCCACACGATCCAGATTTCTCCTTAGTAATTGGTTCAAGGTCCACACAGTTTTATATATTCAGTGCCATACTTGCATTTAGCCATGTTGTCGAGCTAGTTTGCTGTCTCTGTCAAGTAGCTGTCCATTAGCCACTCACTCTATAGCAAGAAACGGCATTTCAAAATAAAAACCCTGCACCCGCAACCCACTTTTGGACCTTGACCCACCAGTTGGGAACCACTGACCTAGAGTATACAATTCACAATATATATTCACAGCAATATGTAGGACCTCGAACTACTCACTCAACCTATGTAGCATAGGTTGAGTGAGTAGTTCAGCTACATTAATCTGAGAATATAGTGATTTCTCACATATACTCTGTGGGTAAACATCTACAGATAAATTGTTGAATCTGAGCTAATCAGCTGTTAAAATGTTACAAACACTTATACCCATCTGTAGACAGACGATCCGAATAAAATGCTACCATCATGGCTTCCTAACAGAGAACATTGTCAATGCTTTCATGTTCTAACCCACAAAATCATTATGTTTTCTATAGCATTAAAGATAGATCCATGCTCACATTAAATGCATTGACATTCTTTTGGGGTTTTTCTGTGTAAACCACTGGAATTCATCTGTGGCTTCTGGTCTCCATGGTTAAGGGAAAAACACCGTGATGTCATGCTGTAGTCTCCTGACTACCACCACAAACATATGGCCAGAAATTCCAGACAAGGAGGAAATGTCGGGGCCAGTGACTGCACAGCGAGCATTTGGTCACCATTAAGAAAATGTGGCACTGGTTAAGTCTTGAGGTAGATCTTAAAGAATTCTTTATGGTTTTCTTTGATTCTGTCGACATTAAAAGGATTTACTTTTGTGCCACATTGCCACAAGTCCAATCGAAGTCCAATCCTTTTGGTCTTTGGTTTTAAACACGCATCAAAATGTTTCAAGAATGTAAATCCCACTGGGTGGCAGATTGGACTACTTTTCTACTTTTGTTGTTATTCGCATGGTGACCCTTCAGTTGTGGCTCCATTTGCAAACTGGTTCTAGGTACATAGTATACTCTGTATGGTATTTAGTCAAAACACTGCCGCCACCCTTTGGCTGAATTGAGAACTACAAGCAAGCATTTACTGTATATTAAGCACAAAAGACTGAGATGCAAATTAATTTTATTCCACAAGTTCCATTTGACTGAATACACTCATCCATTTAACGAATAATCTGGAAAGAAAGAAAGTAAAAGTCAGGCAACTGAAATATAACAGATGAAATATGATGATATTTTCAGAATCACATCAGAGAGGTCACGGGAGGCTCACTGAAAAGATCCAGTCCTCGAAGGAGGAGACTCTGGTGAAGACAGTGGGTTTAGTCACTTGGTTGCACATGCCGGCTGGGCCGTAACTGACAACACCGTGGACTCTCCAGGCTCCACCGGTGAAACAGCTCAGGGGACCTCCAGAGTCGCCCTGAGACAGGAAGCAACAAGATCAGACATAAGAGGAGAGGGTCTAGTTTGAAGGCCGTGGAATAAGAAGTAAGATGTAACCTCTCACTCAGCCTCTTTTATACTACACACTACACTACAGCTGCCTTCCACAGCTGATTACTCACATTAAGACAATTATTTTTTGTATGTACATTTTTCTGAATTTTTTTTTGTTTGGCATTATCTACAGTAACTAAATATGTGATCGTCTGCATATATTTCCAGAACAAAAATCTGAACATTGATAAAGCCTGCAGGTTTCGAATTCTTGTTTCACTTTGTTGACGTATTGGAGTCAAAGTTTTACAGAGGGAATTTTGGATATCTCTTTTATCACTCCTTAAATCGGAAAATACTGTCAACAGCCATATAAACATCCATTTTTGCCACGTTTTTAGGAGTAAAATGATATTTAAATCAGGCTATGAATGATTTATGAGCAAACTCCTCTGTAAAAACCTTCTGAATATAGATAGGAATAAAACTGGAACATTTGGTCTATGTAAGTTCGAATGAAGTGGAGATTCCCGGTTCAGAGAAGGAGGAAAAAGTCATTTTGGGGAAATATGTGTTGTCTTTTTAGGACAAGAAAAAATATGTAACATCACCATGGAACTTCCCCAGTTGATAACTTACATTAGGGCAATATTTTTTATTTTATTTTATTTTATTTTTATTTTTTGTATCACCCATTTTCTGAAATTATAGCTTTAAATATGTAAATGGGACATTATCTAATTAAATATGTGCTTTTTTACATGCATTCCCAGACCAGAAATCTGAACTTAAATGAACACCTAAATATGTTTTTTTTTGGACATTTTCTTTCCACTAGTGAAAGAAGACATGTTTTAGAAGCAAAATGGCCCAAAATCTCAAAATTGACAAGTTCACCTGTAACGTCTCCTTTCAAATAGCTATTAGTGCAGGATCACTGACAGTGCCATTTAACTTTGGAGTCACTTTAATATTAACCTTCAAATTCCATAAAGAAAGTAAGAGAAAAAAATTGAAAAGAAAGAAAAGAAAAGAATATTTAGATGTTCTTGCATTTATGTTAATCCAAAAAGAATGCACTTGTATACTTGCAGTACCTGGCAGCCTGATATGACTCCGTCCCCTCCAGCACACACCATTGTCCTCAGAGCAATGCTGCCCCACCAGTCGGGCCGGGAGCAGACTGAATGCTCCACCACCTGGATGGGAGCCACCTGCAGGATTTCAGGGACGTTCCCCATGTCTGTGGAAACAGTGAGTTAAGTGTCTTTCATCAGATCTACATAAATGTTTTGCATGGGATATGTAGAATATGTGTGTGAGTGTCTTCTCACGGTCTAGAAGCCCCCAGCCGGTGATGTAACAGGTGAACCCATGAGGCAGCATCTCGCCAGGGTAGGGAAAGTTGGCTACCTCCACGTAGCCATTGTCATACACAGGGTTAGCCAGTCTCAAGAGAGCAATGTCATTTCTAACAGACAAAAACAAGACGTTAGAGCAGTTTTGGTCCCATCTAACTGTGCAAGGCACATCATTCCACAGCACTACAGCTCTGTGGCCAAAGTTGAGGCAAAGTGGTGGTACAGGGTTGCACCCACTTGTAAATGTGAATGCATGTGATGCCCCCATGCATTAAACTATCCCCTCAGGCTACAGCCGTCAATAAAATTGTGCTTTTAAATGGCTAAATGAGGAGAAATGGTCTGACTTGCTATCAATTTACCCTTTGGCAAGGTCTCCAGTCCAGCCAGGATGGACGATGATCGTGTCCACGCGGACGAACTGCTCACTGCCGTCATACTTATACAGGTTATACTCACCCACCACCACACGGTACACACTTGCATCCATGCTGACAGGAACAAAGGAGACAAACACACACAATGCTTACTGTACTTATCATTTATCCAGCAGACAAGGAACAAGAGCAGAACAAGACTGATAGTACATTCAGTTTGACATTAGAATAGTATATAGGTGTGTATTGATGCCAATGAGGACCAGTGAGAGAGCCAACCTGAGGATACAGTGAGCTGCAGTCATAACGTAGAAACTATCGATGATAGAGCCTCCACAGATGTGGTAGAATGAGCCGTCATTGTATGAATCATACTGGAGAGAAATCTGAGAGAAAACAGAGACAAAATACACACTGATATGGATAATATTTCAACGATTATTCAGTATGATGAGGTCATAGCAGCTCAATAATGAGCCTAGTTGCCGTTGACACAAAAATCAGTGTAAAAAGTGCTCCTAGCTTTTACCTGCCATCTCCAGGTGTTGGGTTTTGCGTTATTGCCTCCTATGACCCTCTCATTGTTCACTCGATGGTTGAAGGGTGTTTCAGCACCAATCAGCCCTGTGGGGCACACATGAGCGTTAACAGAAAGTACAGTGTTTTAATGTTGCTCTGAAAAAAGTCTACTGTGGAAAAAAACTCACCAATGCAGGACAGAAAAGCCACGAGCCAAATCATGTTGGAGCACTGAGGAACAGACTCTTTCTCTTAACTATTTATATCAGTTTGAGACAGGAAGACCTTCAAAAATTATTAGGCAACCATTAAGTTACCTGCCAACACCAGCAACTAATGTGGATGGTTCCAGATCAAACGCATAGTATGTTATATTGTAGGCTATTAAAGTATGGGGAACACTTTGTAGAAAGATATCTTTACAAATAAACAGCAACCATTTAAATCTCTAAAAATCCAGGTAGAAATAGTTACATAGTCGCTTTATTTACACTTTTATTCATTTGGAAACTTTAACATCAGGAGCTCAAATATCTTATCATAGTGGGAAAAGAGCAGGTTCGACTAAACCATCTGTGAAGAGCGTGACTCGGACACAAATGTTCCCACAGCCTGTTTATGACTTTATTCAATCCCACATTGTGAAATACAGACACACATGAATGACTTAAATTCAAATTACATGTAAAAATATCGCAGGGTAACATTTTAGACCATAACCAAATCTGTAAAACTGTTTCATATTAAAATATAATCTGTTTTCTATGTCTCTGCTTAACATTGTTTAAATCCTCTTTTTATGCCACACTTTCCCGGCATCTCAGTGAATTGTGACATACAGACACATAGGCTGCTGAGTTTTTGTCAGGCGTGCTCTGTGTAAGGCTACAAACAGTCAGATATATTTGCAGTATATATCCAAATATATGGCAGAAAATGTCAGTGTTTTATGAATTAATAACTTTTTATTAACAGTTTTGACACAGTGCATTCTGTGGTCAGTGCCTTCAGTTTATATATACAGTGACAAGTGATGACAAAATATTACAAATTAATTCAGTAATAATGATGCAGTCGTACAAAACTGGACAGACTAATAATCATAATCATAATAATGATGATAAATAGACACATTTATTTTACATTTCAATATTTTTAATATTGTTTTAAGACGTACATATAGATCTGATTTTTGGAAAGTGGAATATGAGGGCAATTCTTGGAGAAATTTGGATGTTTGAATATTATTAACAAACCAGGTTCTTTCAGTGAAATGTTCTTGCCAATACATCTGTGGAGATCCAACTGAAAATCAGTCCAGAAGATAGTCACATGTACATAAAAAAAATATGTTCAATATTTATTACACACATACAACACGAACACAAACAACTATATAATATTTATTTAATGTTTATTATGTATTTAATATTTATACTTGCATTGTGTGCAATAACATTCATTAATTTATTTATGTGCTAATAATTGTATATGCATAGGCATATGTTGGCACTGCTTGTGTGTGTGTGTGTGTGTGTGTGTGTGTGTGTGTGTGTGTGTTCAGAGTATGAATGAGTGATATTTTATCCTTTAACCTTTATTATTCATTTATTACTTTTAAATTAGTTCCGTTTTATCCTGTGCATTGAATTTCATTGTATTCATTTTCAATGACAATAAAAGTAATTGAATTAAATTGAACTGAATGTTTCAATCACATTGTTACAGGAAAATATCTATGTATACATACATACATATATATATATATATATATATATATATATATATTTAAAGTCACTCTTTGATTTTGTTTGGCAGCATTTATTTGTCTTTATCTAGACACATTTTCCCCACAAATACAACATGCTAACGTTATTAGCACAAGCCTATGGTATTTTATATTATATAAATTAGCCTAGCGGCTAGCGATCTTTTCCTCTTTTCATATACAACCAGGGACAACGACAACATTTAACAAAGGTAACGGTACGTAATTCGGCTCTATAACAACTCACAAGGTTCACTGACAAAACAACTGTCTCATACTAAACACGCTTTCCAAACAAATATAACATGCTAATGTTATTAGCACACACCCATGGCATTTTACATTGTAGACTATAAATTAGCCTAGCAATCTTTTTTTCTCATTGCATAAATAAAATAAAACCTACAACAAACATGAGAAGAAGTATGGAATAGGGTTCTAAAACCGAGACCAAAACTGCGATACAAACTTCCAATCGAGCTTGCCATACTACATTTGTGCACAGAGGAGGAATGCTCACTCGTGAGGATGCTTTCCCGCTCACAGATACCAGTCTGTGGACTCTTACTATGTTCACAGGCCGTTTTTGTTTTTTTTTATGTGTGCGGGTTTTGTAAACGGTTTTTTAAAGTAAATGCCATATGGCCACTCCAGGTACACCCTCTTGACCCAAAAATACAAACAAACAAACAGACAAACAAAAACGCTGAGGAATGACCAAACCATGGCTCAAAAATCAGCTGTTTATTAAGTTTTCAACATTAAACAAAACGTAAAGAACATATAGAATACCAAATGTATGAATGTTTACAAAGGTCCCGTCTTTAATTCAAAATAAATACATACACAGTAACAAGCAATGAAAAAATTATACCAAGCGTTGTATGTTGCCGAGCAACCGTGTAGAACACCCCGTCAAGGACGGCTAATCGATCGCAGTTAGCTTGATATCCTCATGCTCAGCAGGATCGATTTTTCTGCCATCTTTATTTATTAGCTTTGCCTAGCTGTGAGCGGCTCCTGTCAGCCTGCTGTAGCTGTCGGCGCTAGCTAGCTTGAGTCAGCTCTGTAGCCTTCAGTAATGACTGTCTCTACCTCAGTGACAACTAGTCAGTGTTAATATAACGTAGCTGTAACTGTCGAAGGCAATGGGGCTGCCGCAGAGCTCGTTTTTGTCGGACGGGGGAACTCAGAGTGGATATCATGTTCACGGGGTATGTAGCGTAGCGCAAGGTTACGTACAGCCCTCGGTGTGTCCCTGCAGCTCACTTTGTTCAGTCTGGGTTAACTTGGCCACTTTTAGCTCACTAGCTTGCTAAATATGCTAGTCTTGAATATATATTGTTGCCATGAAGAAACACAGTGGCTAGTTTTAATTGTCAGGTTGTTTAGTGTGTGTAGTAAGTCGTTACATCGTGGTCAGCTTTAATGGTGTCCGCCCATGATGAGGTGGCACTTGGCACACACCCAAGCTCTTTAGCCTAGCTAAGACTAGCATTGTTTAACTGCAGAAAGTGGTATCGGCAGGAATAGTTTGTAAAGTTACACATTAAGTATTTGGGGAACACCGACTGTGCAGTGAGGATCCCCACATCCTGTCCAATGCAGTCTCTGTAGTTGACACATGGGGGCGACTGTAACAGGATTCCCTTCATGTCAAAGCAGCCAAATCTCATATGTGTGTGTTTCATATTTCAGGTTCAAGAGGGCTCACCAGCTCAGAGGGCTGGTCTGGAGCCCTTCTTTGACTTCGTTCTCTCCATAGGACATACAAGACTCGTGAGTACACTCCTATGAATCTTAAAGGTAGCACATATTACAGGATGTTCCCAAATAAACTGTATATATTTATACGAAAGCAATCCCTCCAACTCATCATTATGCCCCATTAGAAGTGTGGGGTGGCGTATTTATCAGCAGAGACTCTACCCTCTGCATGTATTTTCGTCTTATTTGTGTTCAGAAGTTCCAGGGGTGTCAAACATACTGGCCAGGAGCCAGAAGCGGCACGCCAAAGGGTCCAATCTGGCCTTCTAGATGACTTTGCACACCTAATATTGATGCACATGTGAAGGCTGAGAGGTTTCAGTGAGCAGATACTTCATGTAAAATACCGCTTTACAGGCTTTTCCACTCTGACCAGAATACTGAACATTGTACAAGATATTGTCAAACAGCAGCTTCAAGATTTCTGTCTTAAAACAATATTAGTAGAACCCTGCTGCTGGGGCACTGACAGATCTTCAGGCTGTAAGGCAGGGGATGACTCAACCTGCTTTTTCAATAGCTTTTACTGTAGTGGAAAATTATTGTAAAAAGTCACATGTAATGTAAGTGAATAGTGGACTGACTGAGACATACTGTTGAATTTGCACATAATTTTCTTTCTTCTTTGTTTGGTAAACGGATGAACGTTTTCAGAATGGAAGAAAAATTTGAAGGGGTTGATATTTATAGGTTATTACGCAGTGGTTTCAGTGGTCTGGCCCACTTGAGCTAAAGTGAGTTTGACACCCCTGCTTTCGGGGGTTGTTTGGCATGTGCACTCACCAAATGACAAACATTAAGCTGTATTAAATGAATGGCATCAAATGGTTGAGCATATTTGATTAAGAAGTGCTTATGTCTTTACATTTTTAAAGGTAAATATGAGATTAAAAAGACAAGCTGAGGACTAAATGAGTTTAGAAGGAGCATTTAGTGGCTGCATTTAATTAGAGAGAGTAATCTCTTTAGATTAGCTGAGGGAATCTGAACAATAAATACTGATGTGAGGAATGTTGTCAAGCACTTGTGCGATAAGGACTCTTCCGAATCATCCCTGTAGAGGAATTTTAAGTCCTTATCTTTAGACTGTAGTTTGTGTGGCTTACCTCAGAAGAGCTAGATGTTTGCCAACTGTCTTAAGTCTCATATATATACACATAATATTTGATGGGACAACAAAGATGAACTTTGTATTTATTTAAATGTACGTTGAGGTGTGGTTCTGTGCTGTGTGTGTACTGCACACCCTCATTGACAGCCACAATAACATTTAAACATCAGGCCTGAGTTGCAGCCTCGGCCCTTCAGTCTGCCACAATCACATTTCTTGTTCTTTTAAATGAAAACTGCTTCGCCGACTCTGCGCTGTCACAGCTGGAATAGTCCACATTTTTTTGTGTTTCTCCAGAACAAAGAAAGCGACTTGCTGAAAGACCTTCTAAAAGCCAATGTGGAGAAAGCGGTCAAACTTGAAGTGTACAACTCTAAAACCCAGCGGGTGAGGGAACTGGAGGTGATACCCAGTAACATGTGGGGTGGGCAGGGACTGCTGGGCGCTAGTGTCCGCTTCTGCAGCTTTGAAGGAGCCAATGAGAACGTTTGGCACGTCCTGGTAAGTCAAGTCTAGCCTTAATATGGGCTAGTCTTTAACTTTATTTGGTTTGTTTAACTCTTGCTGACCTGATAGGAAACTAACAGCTTTAAGGTAGCAGCCAGCACATTGTCTTGTTGTGGTTTTCTTGTAAGTTAGAAGGATTTAAAGACTAGAAGGTTTCAAATCTACTCAATTGTGGCAAATTTGCTAAGGGTCTTACTATAAAAAAGTAATATTCTTGTCGGATTGGTACCTCCTAAATTGTAAGCACCAAAAGGACAAATGGTGTGTTATTGTTGAACATAAAGCTCCATATATTTGGACAGTAGTTTTCAAAAAACGTCTTTATAACCATCTTTGCCTTGTCAGGATGTGGAAGCCGGCTCTCCTGCAACTTTGGCCGGCCTTATCGCTCACGATGACTTCATCGTGGGAGCTGACCAGGTGTTGCAAGATGTGAGCTTTCTTCTTCTTTATTTTTTTTTGTCTTTTATTCGTATAAATTGATATAAAAAGAAAAGCATAAAATGCAAAACCTAAATTCCTTTTTGTGTACGTGTGTTGCAGTCGGAGGATTTCTTTTCTTTGATTGAAGCCAATGAGGGGAAACCTCTAAAACTGCTGGTGTACAACACACAGACTGAGCGATGCAGAGAGGTCGTGGTGACTCCAAATGGAGCGTGGGGAGGAGAGGGAAGGTATGAGTGTGGAATGAATAGCTGCAGCCTTTTCTTATCATGTCACCTATATATCTACATGCATATTAAACATTTATACTAATGCCCTAGTTTTGTGTCTCTTCAATTTTAGCTTAGGCTGTGGCATTGGCTATGGCTACTTGCACAGAATCCCGACTCGTCCAGCTCAGCCTAACACCCAGAACAAACAGGCTATGCAATCCACTGTGATCGACAGCAACGAAGAGCTGGTTGTAAGCGACCACACTGAGGTAGAGATTATCACATCTTTATGTTCTTTAGTAGAGACATTGTTTTTTTCCTCATCTAAAACGCACGTTCTCTGTTCTCAGGTGCCTTCAGTGGAATCATGTAGCCCCTCTAGCGCCAGTGAAATAGATGTGAATCAAACCGGAGAGGCTATGCAGGACTTGTGTGTACCCTCGCCCACACAGCCACCTGTGGACTTAGGTAACCAGATCTCATTTTAGAAGCATTCATTTGCCTTCAGCGTCTGATGTAGCTGACGTGTTTTCACGCCGAATTAAATGTACGAATTGCAGATATTTCCAACATACCGGAAGCGATGACTCCAGACTTGTCAGACATGGTTTCCGCCATTGACGTGAGCCAGACTTCCACGTTTGCCAATTACGGAGACAACACTGGTGATCAGTGTAGCTTGGGTAAGTGCCTCTCCACACGTACTTGAACTGTGCAGCTGAACAGAGCAATTACATGTTTTCAATGCCATCCTGCTTGAGAATAAAAATGAAATCGGTTAAAAACAGCTTTTGTTTGCACGACTCGCATGTCAGGGTTCATTTAATGTCTTAATTGCTGAATTATTTTCTATTCATGCCATTAAAAAATAGTCTCGTCAGAACATAGATGTATGAATATATGTGCAACACAGCTTTAATAGCAGTAGCAGAGTGTTTCTGAAATGGTTTTGAGGTATTCTGTCAGTTTGATATATGCTAAGGTGGAACATTTTCTTTAACTGCACTTGTTTATTTATCTGTTTCTTTCAGATACCTCATCTCTTGACCAAAGACCTCCATCTCCAGAGAATGAGGGACAATCAGACATGCAGGAGCATGTTATTGACCTGATTACTCCCTCTTCTCCAAGCAGAGAGACTGTGAATGACCTTGTACTCCTCGAAGTCAACACAGACAACCTGAGTTTCACCAGTGTCCCAGAGGTGCAAGATACTAGCTCTGAGCCTTTAAGCTCGGCCAATATTTTGGAAGAAGAGTCTGCGCAGACGGCTGCACCATACAGTTAAGCAGACAGTTGTACCACAGTATAAGTATAGTTGAACTCATAACTGATGCTAGTTGCATAAGAGAAGATTTAGAGCACATTACGATACAGAAAGCTTCCCTTATGATTGTAAGTTGCACCACTGGACCTGAGTTTTAATAGAATTTTATTTATATACAGTTGCCATTGCTGCATGCAGAATTGCACATTGAAGAATGATATTATGTTGACTGAAAAAAGACAGTTAATACATTATGAATGTACTCTTTGATTTAGGCATACTGTATGTCTCAACATCAGGAAGGATGAAGCCTTAGTTTAGCTGCTGTTAAAGGTCATCCTAGTTTGCACTAAAAAGCCAAAGGTAAATATTATTTTGTCTTGTTGCGCTCACCATTACCACCTGTTGAACATTATGAAACACTGTTAAAAAAAGGAAAGACTGAGCTGGGGGTTCACACAGATCCATTATGTGCTTTTATTTTTTAATATTTTGGAATTTTGGTTGTGGATGTTTTTGTGTATTTCTCTGTGGGTTGAGGTTAAGATGAGTACACATGTGAAAAAGAGTTTTTATAATCTCAGGCATTTAGCATTAAAGCCTCTTTGCCTTACGTCTCATTTTAAATACGGTTATGTGTAGGTTTGACTTTTGATTGGTGTAAATGAGCGAGCCATGTCAGATGCAGCTCTGTGATTGTTTTCCGTTCCTTCTCTTTACATATAGATTTTAATTAAATTGTGTTGAAGGATTTTTATGGATGGAGAGAAGTGTTCAAATATTTATAAAAGATGATGTTCAAGATAAACTTGCAGTGGTATTTATTTTCTATGAAGTGCGTGCCAAACTATAATGATAAAGTCTCAGCATTTTGTGGAGGTCACAGGTGTCATTTAGACTCGAGACCCCAGGGACATGTCGCCACCACTTTTTGAAATGGCCGATTTTGTCCCTGTTACTTTTTAGAAGCATAATATGTTAAAAATGTTCAGAAAAATAACTTGCACCAAGAAATGATAACAAACAAATGAGAGGACTTTGAGAAAGGTTTATTTGCACAATAAGAGAACACACAGTGTAATGTAATTAAAGAAAAAACAAGCATTGTCCAAAAAACATCCATCCATCCATTTTTGGTAACCGCTTATCTTCTTGAGGGTCGCGGGGGGGGGGGGCTGGAGCCTATCCCAGCTGACATCGGGCGAGAGGCCGGGTGCACCCTGGACAGGTCGCCAGACTATCACAGGGCTGACACATAGAGACAAACAACCATTCACACTCACATTCACACCTTTGGCCAATTTAGAGTCACAAATTAACCTGCATGTCTTTGGACTGTGGGAGGAAGCCGGAGTACAGGGAGAAAACCTCTTTGTCAAAATAAAACTCAGTCAGGAACACTTAAGTCAAAGAAAACTTCCTAAGCGAGACCCCCATGAACCTTGGCTCTGCTAATGTCAAAACCTACACCTTTGGTAGTAGCCCAAGTTATGCCCTTTTGATGTGCTATTTTATCTTGACCCGCAGCAGTTATCTACTTTGACCTCAGACCGTTACATTGCCTAAAATCCTGTGTTGAAGACTGTCTAAGAAATTTTCTTTCATCTGAGCCCTTATGTGACACTCTTTGAGTTCAGCCACTGACAAGAAGACTGACAGCTCACAATGGCATATATATATTAGAAGTGTAAGTTCATGCTTTGAGACAGCAGGTGTCAGCAAACACCTCACTTTCAACCCAAACCAGGAACGCTTCAGTTTTCTGCCATTGCAGCTTTAAAATTGCTGTCACATTAGATCTTTTGTCATATTTTCAGCAGCGAACACAGACATGAATGGTCTGTCTAATGCTTTTGCAAAAATCAAATCTCCTCTATGCACTCTTCAGGGATTTATTTGTTTGATCTGGCAGAACAGGAGCAGCCTGCATCAGTGAGGGAAACTTAAACACTGATGCCTTTCAGACCCAGAGACAGGATGCATCATTTGTACCATTCATATTATCCAGTGCTGCATTTATTCAGCTTTGGCCACATGTGTGGTGCCTGCTGGGTCGGCTGGAAAAGCCCTCTTCAAAATAAAATCCGAAGCAAATAGGGGACATGAAATATTAAAGAGATATTCTGATTTGGAAGTGACGACTCTCTAGCCCATGATATGTTTGCATTTTTATTTTGCTATTTGATCTCTACCCCTGAGGATCCTAGTGTTCTGACACATCTATACGCAGCATCAACCATTGATCATAGCGTCACAATATATATTAATGTCTCTGAGAATATTCTTCAGAATTCAAGATCAGAATAACCAAATATTTGTGAGACCCAGTAAAAGCAACACACTAAGCAGGGAAGCTACAGTAGCAGAGGGGGAATACGTTTCAATTATTTACCAGGGCCCTCCTCAGTTGAAGGGGGGGATGGGCATTAAGAGGGAGGAAAGACTGTGTGGGGGAAGAAAGACGAGAGGGAGATGCATTTGTCTTTATCCACCCGAGAGTGAGTGGTGCTTTTAAGGAAGCCTTACTCTGGCACACCTGTATGTGTGATAGATGAAGAATTATATTTCTAAGATGAGCATGTAGCAGCCCAGTACCTTTGGCTCTGCCTACACACTGAAATTTGATAGTAGCAATGTTGAGATCTTGCAGAAAAACAAATGCCTCGAGCTTCTTAAATCAACACAGCGCAGAGCTAGGTGGTGTTTATGGTTCTTTACTTGTGATCTCAGGGTGAATACGCTGTTTCCTGGCCTCCATGTTAGGTTTTCAACATGAAGATAGCTCTATTTGAAGAAGCAACCCGAGGCAAAAAGCCAGCAGCTGCATGCCAGGAGGAGCCAAGGGGTGAGGTATAGAAGGGGCCACCTCTGGAGGAACATGCCCTGCCTTCGCTTTCTCTCTTTTTCTGAGACCGTTTGAAAGGACACTATGACGCAGATGAACCCACTTGTCAGCTTAGCTTTATCAACCCCCGAGAGGCTCGGCTCACAGGCACAAGCATAGTGCCCGTTGCCTCAGCCTGTCGTTGCATCATGACAAATTGTGAAATAGAATAACTACAGAGAAAGAGAGAGAGAGAGAGAGGGTGGGGGGGCATGGATGGAGGGAAAAGATGAAAAAGGTATGGAGACAGAAAAATGAGCAAGTAATTGCTTTCGACCACAGTGGTCACACGTCTGCAAATAAAAGTGCATCTTGCATTTTGTCCTCTGGCAAGATCCCTAGATCGGCATGTGTGGGTACTCAGATACATAAGATTAATACAGCAAGTCACCGACATGTTCATGGCATGTACGAGGGGGATTAAACACTATAAACAGACATTTCTTGTTTCATATGCGTGGGTACAAATCCCCCATCACACGCAGACTTCTATTTTCTGATTTTGCCACCTTCCCACCCCAATCGCAGAAATCTTGGCGCTATGTAGCTATATTTGGAAGTGATGGGAGCTGTATTTCCATGCAAGTGTTATTCAGTGTTTCTCACAGTGTGCACACCAGCAGCATTTCAGCAGTCATTCAGAAATGGCCTGAGCAAGGTGACAGGCTTGTTCAATGGCAATATTTTCATGCATTTTTTCCAGGTAGCCAGAGGATTTGGCATTCCACAATCTCACTTTTTCAGGCACCTCTAAATTAAAGACTTTGTTAAAAAAAAACTTCTCTATTTTCTCCTCTCAAACTACCAACTGGTTGGAGGACTGTTTTCATAAAGGCCCTACCATAGACTGCATGAAAATAATGGACGTAAACTTTAACGTTACCCGTTTGTTTGTGGACTGGCATTTTGGTCGTCGCCATCTTGAATTTTGGAAACCAGAAGTGATTGCTTATCAGCGCCCTTGATTATGCGTAATTTAAAGCCTTAATAAAATTTAAACAGGTGAGCTGTATAAAAATGAATCCCCTGGACAGTTGCCATGAATTCGTTTTCACGTCTGGAGCCTCCCGTCTACAACAGGCTTGAGACGCTCCCTCATTTTGAGGACTTGGCTCAGATTCCGGAGTTACTCCTTAAGGAATCTGATCCCCCTGGCTAGTTGTCATGAAGGGGGGAATTAGCTATAGAGACCAAAAATTGAGCATAGCATTAGTTGAGGCAGGACACGGTGTCAAGCTCAGCTCACATCCCAGCTACATCAGCTGATCTCAAACAGCCCAGTCAAATGATGTAGCAGCTGATTGATGGAAGGGTGTCATCTGATAGATCAAATGATTCCTTTCTATGCAACCAATTGGCAAATCTCATTCAGAGCGCCCTATTTAAACTGCTCTGGCCTGCCTGACTTATCAATGTCATTTCTGTTTGTCACTGATGCAGCTCTGTTTGCTGCTGCTGCTGCTGCTGCTGCTCTCCCTGCCTTAAGCGGCCTTCACATGATAAGAACAACAATAAGAACAGTGACGCAGAGGTCAGATGTAAACTCGGTCAAAGTTCAAATTTCAACTCTGAGCGCAGCGCTCGGGCGGAAAATCCGATCGGTGTGCGATGCCAACGGTAGCAGTGCCTCTTTGTCAGGCATTGCCGCCCTCTCCATAGACAAACAATGGGACAGCCAGCGCAAAGCGGTTTTACAGCTGATCATGTGTAGAGGCCTTTAGGCTTTCCATGTAGGCGCATGGAAGGGCAGGGAGGTTTGCGTGTTAGCTTTATTTTTTGGCCCTGGAGGTTGTAGCTTGGGGCCTACTGAGCACAACTCTATTGGGCAGATTTGCAATGTTTTACTGTTGGCGATCTTACCCTCTTTGGACGATCTCACATCAAAATTGAAAGAGGTGGAAGGAAATAAGATGAAATCTGGAAATCGTCCATTGCAATGATCCACACAACCTCCGTAAGTGTCAGACAAACTTTGATCAAATTTAAAATACTTACAGACTGCATCCGTCAGGGATAGACTTGCCCAACTCTTTCCAGAATTTGAACCAACCTGTCAATGATGCAACCAAGATCCAGCTACCCTTATTCATTCATTCTGGGCCTCCCCATATATGAGACAGACTACGGTCTTTGAAACACTTGTACATGTATGTCAAGGCCATAAGCCAAGTCTTGCAGTTGCTCTTAGAGATCTGAATCTCTCTCGAGCCACATTGTTGCTTTCTTGTTGCTTTTCGCAAGACTTCTTATTCTATATAACTGGAAACCTAGCTCCCCCCATGCATAGCTACTGTGTTGAGGAGGTAATGGTTAATTAGAAGTTTGAAAAGCTCAGATATATCACTCAGGGCTCTGCAAATACATTCCAAAAAGTATGCCAATCATTCCTGGACTACTATAATCATGTCTACACTACAATAAATATAACTTAATGCCTGTTGCTGATACCCATAACTTTGTAGGACCACTGTAGAATCTTTATTTTATTTATTTTGATTTAGCTTGTGAGTATGTTTGGTTTTTGCTTCATTTGTGGTGGTGGTGGGGTTTTTTTAGTTATTCATTATGTTGACCAGTCTCCCAGGGGGTTGTGGTAAGTGGGATGCAGATATTGGTACGCCATATGATATATAGTGTGCAAATGTTTGAAAACCCAATAAAAGCATTTGAATGATAACTGTGTGCACACCAGAGCTTGGGAATAATCTCAGTAAGTGGTGCCTGTGTTGCACCAGCAATGTACAGGTCGTAATTACATTCATTCATGCAAGAGGACCATCGCTCTGTGGCGCCTGAATTCATTAGGAAGTTGTTTCCATCTCCTGCAGTCAATATCAGCCGGCTATATGTTTGCACCTGTTTGTTCAGGAGACAGTTATTTGCTCCCAGTAAATATTGCTTTTTTTAAAAGCAATTTGCTCTTA